TCAGGGAGAGCACAAGAGACTATGGTGCTGGTGCACAGGTGAACAGATGGTGGAAATTCTGTGGGTACTATACCTGAGAAAAAGCAAACATTGTAAGAAAAAAAAAAAAAACCAACATTTTTCAAAATAACACTCAATGAACTACTACCTTTCCCTGAGAAATTAACTTCTCACAGCTGAATAATGATGACATGTTGTGAGTAGCAACAGACACATAAAAGACTTTGGACCTTCTGTTTTTGGTTTATATTAGAAGATTCTCATTTTCCAAAGGCAGGATGGATAAGCTCAGTAAATTTATCACAAATGTCTATAAAACAGGCTTTTCATCGAACTTAGATAAAACACCCTTTTTCATAGTTACCATAAAGAGGAACTGGATTTGCCTGAACTATTTTCTCAGTAATGATTATTCCATAAATCTCAAATAGCAAATATGCATTTTGAGTACTTTGTTTTATTAAAAAAATCAGAATCCAAACATATTGTAAATAATTCTTTAGTAAGTAGATTCTTTAAAAACAAGATTTTTTTTATGCATACTGAACTGGGTTATAGGCTAGAGGTGCCAGGGTTGGTGAGGGGATTCACCAGAGACAGAGTGGGGTGCGGAACAGGCAAATTGACAGAGTACACTAATGATGAGAGCAGCAGGGGAGACAGAAGTCTGCTCCACCATGTGGATCACCTCCCTGGCCAAGAATCAAACTCATGCTGAAGTAGCTGTGGCTGGCTTCTTAGTGATGTGTTTTAACTCGTTGAGCCACCCAGCAAGGCCCCAGTAAACAGATTTTTAGAAAACTTTTATTGTAATAAGTTTCAAACATACACAAACATTGAATGAGTTTGATAGTGAATTTTTTTTAAGATTTAATCATTTATGCATATACAACTGGGGTACAGGCCAGAGGTGCAGGGGTGGTGAGAGGCTTCACAGAGGCAGAACTGGAAGAACAGGCAGATGAATGAAGTACACTATTAAGGGGAACAGCAGGTGAGACAAAAGAGGTCTGCTGAGCCATGTGGATCACTTCCTGGCGGGGATTGAACTCTCCCACTGAAGCAGCCACGGCTTGGCTTAGCTTCTCAGTGCAGTGCTCCAAACCACTGCACCACCAGGGAGGGCCCAATAACTAAATCTTTAAATAAAAAAAAAAAAAAAGTGCAGTCCAGACTATAGGCAGCTCATATTTATTTAGAACCAGGTCAGAAAAGATGGACAAGTACATGGAGGAAAGGACAGTGTGGGAGTGCATGTAGGGGGTGCATTATCATCTGGTGCAAGCTAGGTTGGAGTTACCAGGGGCTCTTGTTTGGGGGGCTCCATTATTCCTGCTAATCAAAGCATATGCTCTCTAATCCCTAGGTTTATGTGACTTTCTGCTAAGTTTGACCAGTAAGGTATTCTAGCTGATCTGGCTATTCTCCCATATCTGCCTGATGATTTCAGCACATACTGGTTTCCCAGTATGTTTCTCATACCTGGACTTTTGCCTGGTGAGAGGGCTCCTGCCTGATTCTACATTTTAGTGTTGTCTCAGTGCCCAGCAGAAACCCTGGGCACTGAGACAACAGCCCTGACAACAAATAGGACTACGGATCCCATGTTATATGTTCATATTTCGCTATATATATATTTTTTGAGCTTTTTTTTTAAATATTTATTTATTTATATGGAACTGGGGTACAGGTCAGAGATGCGGAGGGTGAGAGGATTCACCAGAGACAGAGTGGGGAGCAGAACAGGCAGATCAATGAAATACACTGCTGAGGGGAGCAGCGGGTGGGTCAGGAGAGGTCTGCCTCGTCATGTGGATCTCCTCCAGGGCAGGCGGGATTTGAACTCATGCGCTAGTGGCTTTAGCTTCTTAGTGCTGTGCTTTAACCCACTGCGCCACCAGGGAGGCCCCTTCGCTATATATTTTTAAGAGACAAGAATTCTTTTTTATAAATTTACATTTTTAAATATTTTTGAAGTACCCTTGTTTTAGATACTGAGTATTAATGTAACCGCTTTTAGTATAAGAATAAACTTCACAAAACAATTATCACAAGCAAAAAAGAAAGACAATGGACTCAGAGCATTGAATGTCCCAGTCATATTCAAATTTTCCCAATTGTTGTATGCATAAGTGTGTATAAGAGTATATAATATATATAACATAACATTTGCAATTTTTAAACATTTTAAGATGGTTCAGTGATTTTAATCATATTCACAATATGGTGCAACCATCATCACTATTTTATATCTAATGATGTAAATCTTTATTGTCTGCTACTTTTCATTTTTCCTCTCTCTGTTTTACTTTACCATTAATTTGTTAGAGAAAGGCAGGCTATTTCCACTGTACTGTTTCTCACAGTTTGGAACTATGGAAACATAACGGTGGTGATAGTTAACATGTTCTCTGAATTTTCTATAATTAGTTTTGGATCTAAAATTTCAATTATATTCATGTTTAAAATGATTTTTTGGTAAGACTACTTCATATGGGGTTTCATGGACTTCCATCAAGAGATAATGTTTGATGGTTTCTCCTTTTTTGATGTTACCAGTCATCTTTAACCATCATTAAATTCCCTCATTGCTTAGGAGTACACATTGATGATATCTGAATTTTATTATTGCTTTTTAATAGTTGTCATACCTCCAAATAGAAGTATTCTACTGCATGGATATTTATTCCATCTGTCTAAAAAGAGTATTTCATGAGTGAGAAGATCTTATTAAGCAAGCACAAGTTTGTTTGCAAACATCAGAGAGGGTTTTTGGTTGCTGCTATTTGCTTTATTTTTGCAAAGTGTACAGAACATGCTCCAGATGTAAGCAGCATTTGTAGAAAAGTTAAAAAACTATTTCTTAATGAGAAATCTTTACCCTCTAAAGTAATTTCTGTTACCAAAATGCATCTCTTTTTAAAAGGTGCCCTGTAGTCGTTAATCTGGGAAGAAAGCAATCTTCGTGTGGACAAGCAATTTCAGTCTCTGCTTGCAAAGAGAGCTGAGAGCTGGGAGAGCCTCTTGTGCCTTCTGATTCTCTCTTCATGCATGGAACTAAAATTAAGCACAGAGCTTTTTTTGGTGATAGTACTTGCCAGGATGGCATATCAGAACATTTCCTTAGCGCAACTTGGAGGCACATCTGTTCAAGTGAATCAGTTACCAACTCAATGACTCATTTAGAAAGGATAAGACATTCAAAAGCCATTATATGGATTGAACTACATAATCCCTTTGCCACTAAAAATATTCACATTTTCTTTTTCTCCTCTAACATAACATCTGTGAAGTTCTTGCATGTGGAAAATTATAACAGATGAAAGTTCATGAGATAAAAAGTTATTAACATTTTGAAACTTGGAGGTATTCTCTTCCCCCACACCCTACAGATGCCAAAAGCATAAACTAGCAAGTCATAAGCATATGAAAGTATAATACAATTTTCTTTCATATTAAAAATGAAAGAAAGCAAAGCCTAATGAAATTAGCATGGCTTGTGGGACAGAGACTTCAAGAAGTACCCTTCCAAATCAAACAATGAATGTGGGTAACATGCTATTTATGCTGATCAATGCCATGTATATTTTCTTTTAATTATCCATTACTGTAAAAACAAATGAGCCAAAATTAGTGACTGAAAACAATACATGTTTATTATCTCAGTGTTGGGGGTCAGTCAGGAATCCAGGGGCAGCTTAGCTGGTGAATCTCTGCCTCAGGATTTCATAAGGATCTCCCCTCAAACTGTGGGCAGGAGTATATAGTCATCTCCAGGCTCAAGAGCCACGTTCAAATTCCCTTGAGGCTGTTGGTGGACCTCAGAAGATCCACTCCAAGTTCAACCATATGGGCCTCTCCACAAGGTCCCTGGTTCCCCCAAGCAGAGGTTTGGAAAGAGAATGAGAAAGAGGACACAAGCCAGAAGCGACAGAAGTGACATCCCATTCTGGTCTCCATATTCTGGACACTGAAAAGGAGTCATTGCCTTTAGTCCTCCCAAAGGGGGAGGGAAATACACAGAACAGGAATACTAGAAGGCAGACACCCTTGAGGACATCTTAGACCCTGCCAACTAGAGTTTCTTTCTTGAAAATGTAAATATTTAAAACAGAGACTACATTCTCATAGTTAAAAATTCTAAGCATACAAAAGGATACATAGTAAGAAGTCTCCCTCACACCCAGAACACCAGTGCCCTCCTTAAGCAAACATAACAGTTTCTTGCTTATCCTTTCAGAGGCTTTCTGTGGAACGTGAAGTTGAAGGAATAGGACTCTGTGGGTGCCAGAAGAAAGCCACTGTAATCTTCTCTCTGCCACCTTGCCAATTCAAACCTGCTTTGCAAAGATAATTCTTTCGCAGCCCTTGGGTGAAATCCAAGGTGGGCACTATGGCTTTTTATGGTCTCTCAGATAATGAGTCCCACAGTTATTTTTAGTCACAACTGCTTCATGTCTGAAATAAAATGCCAAGTAATAAATTCTGAACTTTCAAGTTAAAGCTCTGCTCTTCCCTAGCTTGGGCCTCCTTCAGGCTGGAAGCCCACAATGCAAAATGTGGAGGCATGTGTCAAATCCCTAGCTCTCCATTTTGTACTTCTCTGCTTTCTTTCCTGCCTTCTTCTGATACCACTGGGTTGGTTGTCTTTGTCATTTTCTGGATTGTAGGGTAGGTGGTGGGTAGGAAATAACTGAAGAAAGGTAAGGTGATTCTTTGTCCAGTATTTGCTTTTGGCTTCTTCAAGAAGGCCGATCTTTGTGGAAACATTTCACTGTAACTTTCTTGATGTCTGAAAATTTGCTTCATTTAGCATTTGCTTCCAAGGACATGCCTCTATCCTATTTTGTGTTTAGAAGCTCTCAAACAAGACCTCCTCTAAGACAGCTCTTAGGAGACTTGGCTTTCTCTGTCTCTCAACTTCTATGCAAACTCTATATACCCTTCAGAAAATCCTAGACAACTTGAAAAACTAACAGCGTTTTTGCTCCTTGAAACTTTTAATTTCTCATACTATCTTGCTCAGTTCCTTTAGGAGCCATTATATCCTGGGAACAAGGCATGTCCAGTGTATCACCCCAGGAATTAAAATCCATAAGAGGGGCTGTATTTGTTGGTTGACCAAAAGCTTCTTTTGTATGGGAGGGATGTGAAAGATTTTTCTTGTAGAACATACTTTGCACATGCTGAGATACCTTTAAAGACAAAAATAATGCAGCCAGTAAGACTATGACTTCCTTCAGTAACTCAGTGTACTCTGCTTAGCCACAGACGACAGGGAAGCTGAGGTAATTTTTGGGACTGAGCATTGGTACAGTTATGATGGACATAATATAGTGAGGGGGAAGAGAGATTTTCTCCTACCCCTCTTGTTTACTTGACTGGTCTAATTGCACAAGGCAGGTGACTAGGAGAAAAAGATCAATTTAACCAATTTGTATGGAGGGCGTCTTCGTGAATAGGGGACTATTGAAATGACCGATGCAAGAGGCATAGACCTTCTAGACTAAGAAGCAATACATTTGTGAAAAACAGATGAGATTAAAAAAAAAATTGAGTTTGGATACTAATTCAGTGAGGAGCGAAGCAAAACTTGTAAGTCAGTCCTTGCCTTCATCTGGGCAATCTCCTTGGGCAACCTCTTCACATGGGAAAGATTTCCCATGTGCGTGTATCAATCTACTATCAACTGTTTCTCAAGTAACTTTCATTTAAAATATTAATATGTCACATTTCACACTTTGGGGTGGCCTGCTCTGTGTCTTGACAGGACTTTTCTTTCTCACAGTAACATAGCATTTACTGCTCTAAACTGGTTATCAAGGTGGCAGTAATTTTCCAGTTTCTTTTCATGGTTCTGCTGTGGCTCATCTACATAGAAAATGATTTCACCTGAATTCACTCCACCATCTTCCTTTTCCAGTGATCCTGGGAACACAGAGATACCTTATTCCACCTCGACCAACACCCAGCTGCTCCTTCTCCAGGCTGGGATTCTTTAAACAACTTCAGCCCACAGATGCCTTCAGCGGGCTTAGTGTTGCTACATAAAAGGCGCTGCTCTGGACTAGCTGCCTCAGGCCTAACCTGCTGACTCCACCACCCACTAACACTCAATTGGACCCAGGAAATTCTTAGGCTGTTCATGTTAGCACAACCGATGTTGTTCTCCATTCTGACAGTATTTGAGTTCTCAAATTCCAGTCACTTTTCTTCTAACCATTTCTTTTTTTTTTTTCTTTTTAAAGATTTATTTATTGATGCTTACAGAACTGGAGTATAGGCCAGAGGTTCAGGGACAGTGAGAGGATTCACCAGAGACAGAATGGGATTGAGGAACAAGAAGATTAATGAAGTACAGTGCTGAGGGGAGTGGCAGGCAGGTTTGGAGAGGTCTGCTGTGCCATGTGGGTCACCTCCGGCTGGAGGATCTAACTCACAGCAGTGGCTGCCGCCAGCCTGCCGTGCTGCATCCTAACCCATGCGCCACCAGGGAGGGCCCACCATTTCTTTCTGTGCCCAAACCAGGCACACTTTCTAAGTTTCTGATCTGGAGATGGGTCTCCTTCCTCTTTGGTGGGGCTTGCCTGCTATGGGGAATTTTGCTCTTGATTCCCATTTTGGAGATCGAGACTTGGTTATTGTATTCCTTGATAAACACCTACATGCTTCCCTTTGGAGGTTTCCAGATGCTGGAAGCTTACAATTTGACTGCTTTAGTTGAACCCCTGGAAGTTCCTAACACTGAATGCCTAGCAGCAAGAGGGAGCCCTGTCCTGCTAATGCAGCAGATGGTCCTGGGCTCAGTTGGGCCTCATGAACTTACTTACACTTGCCCTATGGGAGCAGAAGAAATGACTTACAGTCTTGTGAAAATGATGTGTGTGTTTTTTTGGGGGGTGGTGGGGAGCGGATGGCAATGCTAACTGCAAGTGAGAAGATTGAGAATGACTTGGGATTGACCCCAAGGAAAAGAACAACTAAAAAAGAAAGAAAAAAAGAAAAAGTGATAAATCATATCCAAAGAAAATCTAATTTGAGAGAAAATGTGTAGTATTGTAAGTATGCCAAGAGATACAATATCTCCACTAAAGAAACAGTCCATTTGAAAGTGAATACCATATTGTGCCAGTGTTAATTTCTTAGTTTTGACAAATGTGCTACATTATGTAAGATGTTAACATTAGTAAAAGCTGGGTGAACTCTTGTTTGCAAGTTTTCTGCATCTAAAATTATTCCAAAATGAGAAGTTGGGAAAAAGAATACCAATGAAAACATTAAAGTAACTGCATTATAATTAAAGAACTGCTTTACCCTATAAATTTTAGGCAAAGAAAAAAGGTTTTCCTACCATGAGGTGTTGCCTAATATCAAAAAGACCAGAAATAACAAGTATTGGACAGGGTGTGGAGAAAAAGGAACTCTTATGCACTCTTGGTGGGAATGTAAACTCAGCAGTCTCTATGGAAAACAATATAAAGGTTTCTTAAAATATTAAAGATGTATTATTTGATCTAGCAACTCCACTCTTTTATCCAAAGAGTACAAAATCCCACTAACTTGAAAAGATATATGCATTTCTATTTCTCTTCAGCACTATTTATAATAGCTGAGCTACAGAAACAACCTAAGTTCCCAGTGGCTGGCTGGATAAAGATGGGGTGTATATACACAGTGGAACACTACTCAGCCATGAAAAAATAGCTTCTTGCCATTTGTGGAGGGTATTATGCAAAAAAAAAAGTCAGAAAAGGCAGCTACCAGATACTTTTGTTCATATGTGGAATATAAAGAAACAAAGCAAAGGAAAAAACAAAACTAAACCACAATAAGTCCTTAGGAACTGGCTGCTACTGAGGTTGGGGGGTGAGGGTGGAGGAGAGTAGCAGGAAAGGGTGGGTGTGGCCTAAAGGACTGGGGGGAGGAAAATGGGCCCTTTGGTGTGGGCATGGAATGCTAACATACATCTGAAGAGGTATGAACATATACAGTGCTGTAACCAACAAATACCTCAATAAAAAAGAGGGTTTGAAGTATATTCTGACATCTCAGCTCCTGATCCAAGCATGTGTTATAACCAGGTGCTGTTCTGTATGAATTTTGGGAAGAATTAGTTGTGGTCTCTTGGTTTCACTTTTGGGAGACTCATTGAACAAAAAAAAATTTGACCTATTATGGACCTTGCATATTCTAAGGCTACATCACCCATCAACAAAACAATGATTTCTCTTCTGTAATGGGAGCAGAAGGAACTCCACAATGAGTAGAACAAATAAGTTAATCATACCATATGACTGGGGGTGATTTGAAGGAAAAGAAGAACCATAAAGGGTGCAGTAGTAGTATGCATGGGAACTAGGACATGTGCACTGTTAAATAGGGTGATGAGGACAGTAACTGAGAAAGCTGAAGGAGAAGGGAGAGAAATATGAGGAAATGAGGGGGGATGCATCTATGGAGCAGGATGGCTCTAAGGTGGAATATGCCCAGATGTTAGGGCAACATCCAGGGGTGCGTGGGCAAAGGCCGTAGTGGATGGGAGAGACGTAGAAGCTGGAGTCAGCAGGGTAAGGGAAGTGGTGGTGGTGGGGGTGAGTACCAATGAACAGGATGTCGACTTTTACTCTGAAGGAAAAAGGGAACTGTTGCAGACCCGAGTCTTATGTATTAGAAGGATCATTTTTTGTGAACAGGCTCTGGCTGGCAGAGGCAGAGTAGGAAGAATGCTTGGAAGGCTATTGCAGCAATCCATAGAGATATGATGGTGTCTTAGTCCAGAGGGAAGCATTTGAGGTCATAAGAAGGGGTACACTGGAGACAGGTACCCCCTACTCCAGCATTCTACTGTTACATTTTTAGGAAGTTTGTGAGTCAGTTGTTAAACGTGTCACTATTAAAAATTAAATTATGTAAATTTACCATGAAATAACTTATGTGGCAAACTAAGTTTATACATATTAACAACACCACTTCTCAGTTATTCTCACCTATCATTGCATTATCATTATCTCTGCTTTTGAGTTTATTTTTGTCTAGGCTATCCATATAGTGAAGGTACTCTGAAATGGGGTGCTGCAGCTCTTCCCAGTTTTGTATTCAGTGATGTTAAACTAGTTGATATCACATTTACAGGTATCAGTCATGGTGGAGTATTTACACTAAGGCAATTGACAGGCGCTAAAGACCAGGGACCACTTTGACTTTAACGAAGCTGGTTGTTAACAGCACACCACTGCTCTGGGCCTTCCCAACTATCCTGGCAGTGTGTGTGCTCCTCCATCTAGGGTTCCCAGGTCCCCCCGCAACCCCCACGCCCTCACTCATAGAGAGGAAAAATTTAATAAAGAGGTCAGGGTTCCCAGGTCTCTCCACTTCGCCCATGCCCCCACCCATAGGGAGGAAAAATTTAATAAAGAGGTCAGATAGGAACCAGCCATATTACAACAGAAAAGTAATACATTTCTCTTAAACTTCTGTCATTAGCACACATTTGGTCGTGTTAAATTTCCATACCTGTGATTGAATCTTTAGCGCAGGCCCTAGCTTTAAACCCATGGTGCTTCGCAGGTGTTCCTCTGTGAGTAATGGCAACGTTTCTCCATCAATTGCATGATCTTTAAATACCTTATTAAACACAAAACGTGTTAACTTTGTGTTTAAATAAAAGACCTTATTTTGTTGTTGCTTTTTTATATGGCTATTCTCATTTTGGAGGAAGCATTAATACAGGGTGACAAAAATTTTGTTCCACATCTTATTTTCAGTCACTATCTTCTGTGCTCCAGTAGCACATTGTTCTCTTAAGTAATCCTTGGATAAATACTGTGATTCCATTTATTGAACTCAATTCTGACCCCAAATAATTATGTCTTATTTACTATGTACCATCACGCTGGACAAATCAATGAGTGGCAAACAGTGTGTATCAAACGATGCCAGGAAAGACCTTTAGAGACAAATTTCATTTCTTACATGGCCTTCGGCCCACTGCCTTAGATGAATGGGAAAGGGAGAGAGGGAAATGCAGGTGAGCACTGTCTTGCTGGACCTTTCCAGCTGGGCCTACTTGTTTAGCTTGTGTTACGCTTGTGACCAGGCCTTCCTTTCTTCCAAAAACTAAAGAGGCTTCTGGTAAACAAAGCTTCCAGGCAGTAAATAGATGATAGAAAAAAAACAGGCAGAATGGTAGTGGCCTAATTTCAACTTTGAGCGACTAGCAATCCTTCTATCTTTATTGATGAGCTTTGGCTTTCTATTTCAAGCTTTCTCTAAAGTTTTTTCTCAAACTTTATATCTGACAGAATCTACTTTCCTTTTCAGCAGATCCTAGAGAGTTATAATTAAAAGAAAGAAAGAAAGAAATCAATTGATAAAATCTACCTCTGATTCCGGTGAATAGACTTGAAAACTGGCATTTTCTCCTTGCCCTGATACAGAGGAACAGGAAAATCTCACTGCTTTAAAGACAACCTGTCTGTCTACCATGCCGATGGTTCTCACTGTCCCACCTCAAGGTCTCACTCAATAAAATAACACTCCCTCTGGTCTTTAGTTTTCTTCTCTTCGGTTGGTTATTTCACATTGGCAATTAGGAAAGTCTCTGCCATCTTGAAATATGTAATAATAAAAATACACAAATTCTTCCTTAGTCTGTCTCCAGATACTACTCCTTGTTTCTCATTCCTTTTGTGGCCAATTTCTCGAGTATTCTAATGCTCCCCGTTTCCATATTTTTATTTCTTAGTCATTGCTCGTTCTCATGAAGTCTGACTTCTGGTCTCTGAGGTATATGAAACCTGTTCTCTTCTGGTCCTATTGAGTGACTGTCATTATCAAGTGTGGATTTTTTTCAGTCCTCACATTTCTTTTGCTCCTGGCTTACCTTTGACATGCTGGCTACTCCTTCATGATAATCCATGAATGCCTTGGCTTCAGGAGGCATTTCCCTCTTGGGGTACCCTCTGCCAGCTCCTTCACAGTCATCTTGTGGCCACTGCTTCTTGGTCCATCCTTATGTGTTAGTGTCCCTTAGGTTTCTGACCTCTTTATTCTTTCTGGCTCATCTCAGTCTCTTGATTTGATTTCAGTGACTGTCTCTATATGCCGAAATCTCCCTAATGTATATTTTTTAACCCAGCAGCTGAGTTCTGCCCATTCTGTCTCTCAGATAACATTCTTATCTGCCCACCCCACTGTACTTACCCTGGGCCAAACTTCATTATTGTTCGTCTGAGGAGGCTTCTCCTCAAGTGTTGCTCACTTCAACCTATTTTTATAAAATCAACCTGACTAACCTTTGTGAGATATAGTGAATCATGCCTCTCCTGTTGAAAACTTCCACTGCTTCCCTGATGAAGTCACAATCCTTCCCCAAGACTTCAAGCGCCTTTGATCAGGCCTCTTTTCCCTCTCTTGTCCTGGCTCTTCATCCTCATCTCTTGTACCTGGGCCTAGAACTCTGTGCCACTAGAAAACACTTGCATCCCAATCAGAAGTGAATTACATACTTTTGGTTCTAGCCTGGAAACCCTTCCATTGCATCCTTCTTCCCTCACATCCCCCAAGCTAGTAAACTCCTCAGTGTCAGCCAGATTTCATTTCTGATGCCTCCTCATCAGGAAGTTCTGAAGCCCTATGTGTACCCATCATGCCCAAATCTGCTCTCACATAGCACACTCATGTTGATGTGGAATCACTTACTGTCTGCTCTTCTGGAAACTGCCCCTCCCCAGAAAAAGAGGCATATTTGTCTTTTTCCACTAAGTGCTCCACACCTCAGATGGCACGCCTCAGAACCCGCTGTAAAACAGAATCTTTGTAGGGAGCCTTCTGTATTTTGTGATCTGTGACAGCTTAGTTATTTAAAAGTTATTAAGTGTTTCTTTTCCTATCTTCATTAAACAAATAATAGAATAGCTAAACTATGAATTATCTAAATTTGTGCCAAAGCAAAAATGCTGATAGCTTGGGTTAATCTTGTAACTTTATCTTGGGGAAATTTCTGACCTCTGTTAAGATGCTTAATTATCAAGAACAAATTAAGGATCACTTTTGAGAACTCCTATGGGCCAAGTTGCTCTTGTTCATAAACCAGATGATGTAATAGCTTCAATATAAAGCAATTATAATGGAAATAGCCGGATTTGGAGTTACATATATATTTTCAAGCACTTACAAGCCATCTTGATACTCAGTTTTACTCAGATGCAAAATAAGGTTAATAACTATCTTGCAGAAATACGACAGAGTGAATTTAAAAGATAATTTAAGTGCCATTCTTAGCATGGTACCTGCCAGACAGTCAGTGTCCAACAAGAAGTAGCCATTATTATTATGATCTTTTATAAATGAGGGAGCTGAGAGAAAACAGGTTAAGTGAGTTGCCTAAGAAGCATTAGCTTGCTAATTAGGGAACTTGCAAAATAACATACATTCATGAATCTAAATCAAGAATTTTTGTGTTTAATTCTTCTGCTATTCAGATAACTGGAAACTGATGAAAATCATTAAGTATATTGAAGGTAGAGTTTTTACCTCACTCCTCTCTCCTTCACAGGGTTCCAGTGAGCAATAAAGAAAGAGAAACCACCAGGATACATTTTCAGAGGTGGGTTGGCAGCCAGGAGAAATGAGGGGGCTACCTTTCCACCATGCTGGGTGGGCCTGGGCTCGAGGCCCTGAGGACAGTGACAGAGCACACTTCCCGTCATCAGGAGCCACCCCCCCTCCCATTCTCTCAAGAGTAGTTTGGGCCAAGTATATGATACAAGTGTGCACATATTTTTAGTAATTCAGTTACTTTTGGAGAGGGATTATTTTATCTGCTGAATTTACTAAACTAGACATTTACTTAGAACAAACAAAGTATTGTTGCCAAGTCTCCTGGATGTCCCTAAACTGCTGAGCCATGAACTCTCTCCACGGAAAACTTAATTTGCATTAGGATTTGGGATTTAGCTGCAGTTATTTTTTTCTAAATTTCTTTTTCTACCTGCAGGAGGCAGGTGGAGGAGATTTGCTGAGTAGACACCAAAGGTGGGAAGAAGTTGGTACGGGGTTGGGGAGGCAGTAATGGCAACTTCAACTTGTCCCAGCTGTGAGTAAGATCCAAGAGAGTGTTATAGACAAAGGTCCTTGTGAGAGCTGTACGCAGGGTCGCTTCAGAGCTTGTACTAGAACACGCCCACCCTGGGCGGGGAGCTCTGTACAGAACACTGAGCAGGTGGCTGTGCCGGCAGAGCTGTGTGCTCTGTCCCTGAAGTCACAGGCAGTCACCGGAGGGAAAAACTTCATGAAGAAACAAGAGCAGTACTTGATCCTGACCACATCTGGGAAATATCCGGAAATAGTTGTGCCACCTCTTGGGGTGGGGAAGGGAGTACCCACAGCCTGCTGGTAACAGATAATGAGTCAGCGAAGTTTGGAGGAGTTCTCCAAACTTAAAGTGACTTCAATGTACCCGCAAGGGGGACATTCGGTATTATAAAGTATGAAGTGCATGTAGCATTATTCATCCCAAGAGTGTTATTATAAGCTGAAGTTTTTTTGACTGTGGTTCACTCACTGACTGAATAAGATAAAGAGATTTCAAACAGATTCAATCCCCTAGCATCCAGCAATCACCTGCCCCTTATATGTGGGGTTCCTTGTTTCTGACTGTTAACTGAACTTGGTAACTTTGTTAGATCAGTGGTTGATGTGGCATTTGATAAGTGACATAGGTAAATTTAAAAAGTGACTTACCGGCCCTCCCTGGTGGCGCAGCGGGTTAAAGCACAACACTGAGAATCTAAAGCCAATTCCCCATGAGTTCGATTCCCGCCTGCCCCGGAGGTGACCACATGGCGAGGCAGACCTCTCCTGACCCGCCCGCTGCTCCCCTCAGCAGTGTACTTCCTCGATCTGCCTGTTCTGCTCCCCACTCTGTCTCTGATGAAGTCTCTCGCCGCCCCTGCACCTCTGGCCTGTACCCCAGTCTGTATGCATAAATAAATAAATAAATAAAAAAAAAAGTGACTTACCGATGGTTAAAGACAAATAATAAAAGTTATGTGCATTAAGGAGGAGAGAATAGGACAAAAATTTTATCAGGAATGCAAAAAGACCAAATGGGTGATTTGAATAAAATTTGCCTCTTAAGTAAATTGAGGTCCTGCTTTTACCAGAAGCCTCTGACATATGAGGAAATTAACATTTATTGTTACTGATAAGGTGCCAGAGACTGCTTAATGATTTGATAATCCTTTGAGAATGATTTATAACATTATGTTCCATTTTACAGATAAAAAAAACTGATGTGTTGAGAAGATGCAACTCATCCTAGGTCACCATTCAGAAAGCAGTAAAGCCAGGATTTGAAATTGTCCTTTTACTTTTTAATTTATTTTTGCATTGAAGAACTGAGTGTGGGCCAGAGAGGCAGGGGTGAGAGGAGTTCCCAGAGACAGAGTGAGGAGCAGAACAGGTATCTCTACTGAAATACACAGCTGAGGAGAGCAGCAGGCGAGACAGAAGAGGCCTGCTGCACCATCCGGGTCACATCCTTGGCCGGGTATTAAACTCAGGCTGTCGCAGTGATAGCACTGAGATTAACCCCTGGGCCATCAGGAAGGTCCTGAACTTATTCTTTCTGAATTTATAAGTCATACCCTTAATTCCTACTCTATATTCTGTTTGGTAAATTCCATAAATAGAACAAAAATATAAATAAATGGGAAAATAACAGAATTACATTGAAAGAAAATATTATTACAAAACTGAGATCTGAAAAGAATTATCTTTAACATCAGTTAATCATGATGTAGTTAAATGATAATGTCCTTTCCTTGTTTTCTCCCATTTAATATATAAACCAAAGATAATAATTCCATTATCTAGTAGGCACATTGTTGCTTGAAATTTTGTTATCCTATTATGTCTGACAGAGAAGTACATGCCTTAAAAGTTTTGGATATAGAGGTATAGGACAGTTGACATTTCTTACTCTTTTTGGGTGTTTGGCCTCTGAACCTCTTAATTTTGGGAGAATCCCCAAGTCTCAGGAGTCTTGGTGAAACAGAATTTAAAGCCAAATGCAGGCTTTCCCAGACTCCCGGCTAGTGTGTGGGCACAAGACCCAGGGTCCTGGTCAAGGGCAGCCATTGGCATAAAAAGTGGGGGTTTGTTAAGCATCCTCTCTGGGCACAAAGTACAAATTTAACAGAATTCATAATAAAGGAAATATATTTCAAATGTCATACTTATTATGAAAATACTTAATGTAAATCACCTGAGCATAATCTGAACAACCAGGTAGGCTACCGATGAAGTTGTACACATCATTCACAGTCCATTTCTGAATATCTTCATCCAAAGATAGAGTTCCCCTGATTGCAACCAGCGCATGTGTTCCTTTAAAATGGAAAGGAAATTATTTGTGGTATGAAATTTCCAGTAGAAAAGAGGGAAGCTGAGAGCACAGTTTTATGTATAGCTACATTAATTTCCTCATGCTCTGCTAGCATAGAATGATCTCTTTGTATGGTATTATATATGAACTCTTTAAAAGATATGAGGAGTTCCTTAGAGATGCTTTCTAAAAGCTTAGCTGTTTCCTTTCTTCCCCTAAAAGATCTTTACACAATTATATGTTAAGTTACAGGCCTGCTCCAGCATCTCTGAGTTCAATAAAAATGCCCTGGGGATTTTATTCTCCAGATTAACACTATTATTTGCCACAGTATTAATTATCTGCTGCCTTCTCTAGGTGAATTTAGCTACATCTTCATCATAGTAGTATAATACTTTATGAGGGAAATGATTGCTAGATTTCATGCCCACATCTTGTGTTTTGAAGTGTTTTAGGAAACTTTCAGTGTGTGTTTTGGAGAATAGTATTTTATAAGGCATCAGAACAGTATGGACACTGAAAGCTAATGCTTCTGTTATCTATTTTTTCCTCTACATTTAAATATATAGGAGATAGAATCCATAATGTAATCACAAAGCTCCTCAATTTTATGGTGAAACAGTTAACAGTAAGTTAAACAGAAAATTAGTTAAAATTTCTGGTAGCTTTCCCTTTCCTTCCTCATATTTACCTTTGCACTTGGCTGAAAATTCTCTAAATAGCAATGTATAAGTAGAGACAAGTTTCACAGATATGAATTACTGGAACTATTAACATAATGAAGCGATTTCATGAAGAAGGAGTTCTAAACAGAACTAAGAAAAAGAAAGACAAAAGGAAGTGCATTGGGCACAGGTCACTATGTAATTAAAGACTTGCCAATCTATGTTTCAATAAGACTAACCCCTGGTTACCCACCTGGCAGAGATGGTGGAGGAACTGGAGGGTAAACCCCATTCTTCTCACCACAGGTTGCAAAGTCCTGCTCCGATTCCTTCTCTTTTCCACTGTCCCAGTCCTCTTTCTCCAGGAGAGCACCATGAGTTCCCCAGGGTTTTCTGTAGGTGGGTTCGAGCTCTCCATAAGTGTTGGCAAGGGCTGTAGCTGACATCTCATGGGTCTCATTTGACTTGCTGTTGAGAGCTTCAGTTTCTGGGTCTTTTGCATACTCAATCTCTTCACAAGGCATTGCATGAGTCTGGTCTAGGACTTTTTCTTCTATTTGATTTTTGCAACTCTCAGTATCACTGTCTAGAACTTTCTGATTTCCAGTACCTCTCCTGAGACGCCGACATTTCTGCCTCCAGCTCTCTACAAAATTTGAACCTGTTGCCACTACCGCGGGGTTTCCTGGAAGGTTTCTCAAGGTGCTTCTGTGAAAATGGATATCACTTGCAGGGAGTGTGGTCCTGCCATGGTACGGGGCTGAGACAGCTGAGGTCTCAGAGCCATAGAGGAACGGAGGCACTGTGCCGGCTAGTCCCGTGGGGTTAACTTTTTCTATTTTCCGTTGCTGGTAAATGGCATGCATTTCCATTTCCATCCTAAAAACAAAACAATGCTTTTCCAAAACCCAAGAAAAACCATTGGAAATGTAATTTTAGTGACCGTTCCTATCCCTAAGCACCTCTGCCTTTCCTGTGAGGCCTCACACTACTTATCTGGAGTTTACTGGGTGGAAACACGTACCTTGCACAAAGCCTCTGGGTAGGAGAGTTTGGGATATGTTCGAAGGCGAAGGGATTGGCTGGTTCTCACAATGGAGGGCCAAAGCCAGTCTTTAGAACACACTTCGAACAGATCAGGCAAATTTAGCAAGCAAGGGATGATGCTGCACAGGGTAGCTTCTTTGCAGAGGTTAATTCTCATATAAAACAAAACAAAAACCTAAACTTCTGTGAGTATGTTTTAAAGACCTGTAGTACAATCTTAATGGGACTCAAGAAAGGAAGTAAGTCCACGCAACTCTTGACTGTTAGGAATCAATACGAGTGGCAAGAAAGGAGGGAGGAGGATGCTTTCGTGTTTTGCTGACTTTGCTTGTTGGTCATCACCTGGAATCACTAGAATTCAGTGATGAGAAAATTTACTGTGAATCCCTTTCTCACCTCCACCATAACTTACTCTTTAGTGCTGTGCTTTTCTTTCTCCTGGCTCCTGAAGAGCCTCTGATGTGCTGACATGGGGCTGATGGCAAATTCAACTCCTACATTTGGGCAGGATCAAAGTAATTATAGACCAATATGCCAACGTGAATTTCAAAGGATTCACAAGTAGGCATTTTAATTATGAGGCAATTTACTATGATCTTTAGATTTTGTTTCACAAATCTTGCTTTTATTCTTACCTAGCCTATATATATGCTTGTGTTTGTAATATATGTTTATATTTTTTCACCTAAAAATAAAGTCAGTGTGTATATATATATACACACACACACAAATGTAACAATATATAGAAATATAACAAATGAATAAGCATATGTAAAAAAGTGTTATATCTATGCCCCTCTATCTAAAGCAAATGATAAGCAAACAGGAAGTAGAAATTAAATAAAACAATATTGTTATGGCCCTCAATGGGTTAAAGTGCAGCACTGCAAAGCTAAGCCAAGCTGTGGCTGCTTCAGTGTGAGCTCGATTCCTGCCTCTGGTAGTGATCCACATGGCGTAGCAGACCTCTCCTGACCTGCCCGCTGCTCCCCTCAGCAGTGTACTCTGCCGATCTGCCTGTTCTTCTCCCCACTCTGTTTCTGGTGAATCCTCTCACTGCACATGCACCTCTGGCCTGTACCCCATTTCTGTATGCATAAATAAATAAAATCTTTTAGAAAATTGTTATATTACCTGGCAGTGTGCTGTCTTTGAATCATCTCATTTCTTCTAGCCATTGCCTTTAGAGATTCAGGTGGTAAAATACCCCAGCCTAAAAAAACAAAACAAACAGAAAAACCACCATCCCACACAACAAAAATGTCAACAGCATTCATTTGAAAATAATAAAACAGAACATAATGATTTAAAGCAGTATCTGCAGAAGACTGCAGTGGCACACAATGCTGGAAACAGTGCCAGATCAGAGCTCTTCAGCATTTTAGAGTCCTTGTGTAATAGCATGATAAAAGATTTTTTTCCTTTAAGTTTAGGTCTCATGATTGTCCATGTTTTCCTATCACATTTCAAAAGGAAAAAAGATGTAATGAATTGTGGACCACTTGATCTCTTTCTTTTGAAGTATAAATTGAGTTTTTATTTTACTTTATTTTTTGGTACAAGAGGACCTCACAAAAATAAAGTAACTTAATGTTTTTTGGAATCCTTAAAATCCCTGAAATTCCTGGAAATATATGCAATGATTTAAGTGGAGAAATAGAAAGTTCTCTGTGGACTTTTTGGTGTATCTGAGGAAAATACTTTTTATAATGAATTCAGTGGACTTGGGCAACAACTAAATTCTTGTGTCAAGCTTCTAAAGTTTCTTGAAATGTTTAAAGTGTCGCCAGAATTCAGTGTTCTACTCTGGCCTGGTACTGTCATGCTATATTAACTTCTTTCTTCGGGTTCTTGATGTACTTAGAGTCTACACTGGTGCTTTGTGGTGAAAGAACTGTTTTTTTTCTCTTTAAATTTTCAACCTGTCATGGACCACCAATACTTAAAAAACAAAAAGCAAAAACAAACAAACAAAAACAACTAAAGGGACTCAATTATAATGGCAAAGAAAACAAAAACAAAAAACAAATGGGGCCTTCTCTGGTGGTACAGCAGGTTAAAGTACAGCACTAAGAAGCTAAAGCCACTTCAGCATGAATTCAGTCCCCACCCTGGAGGCCATCCAGATGGCTCATCAGACCTCTCCTGACTTGCTCTGCTGTTTTCCTCAGCAGTGTACTTCGTCAGTTGCCCTGTTCTGCTTCCCACTCTGTCTCTGGTGAATCCTCTTACTGCCCCTGTACCTCTGGCCTGTACCCCAGTTCTGTATGCATAAGTAAAGAAATAAATAAATCTTTAAAAACAAAATATAACATTAAACTGAAAGATTTTTGCTCAGTGAAAGAAATTACCATTAAAATGAATACATCCTACCAAATAGGAGAAAAATTTTTGCATGCCATACATCCAACAAAGGGCTGATATCCAAAATTTACAAAAAAAAAAAAACAAACAAACTCAAACAACTACTCACATACACATACCAAATTGCCCAAACAAAGATGAGTGAAGAGCTAAAAGTCACTGCTCCAAAGAAGACATAGGCCCGTGAAAATTTATTCATTTTCATTTATCATCAGAGAAATGCAAATCAAAGCCACAATGAGATACCATCTCATACCTGTGAAATAGCTCACATCAAAAGGACCCAAATCAACAAGTGTTGGCAAGGGGGTGGGAAAAAATAATACCTTCTTATACTGTAGGTGGGAATGTAGCTTGGTCTGGCCCTTATGAAAGACAGTATGGAAGTTTCTCAAAAGACTTAACTACATCTGACATATCACTCAGTAACATCACTCCAACATGTCTATCCAAGAAAACAAAAATTCACTTATTTGAAAGGAAATATGCACTCCTATGCATTGCAGCACTACCTACAATAGCCAAACTATTATAAATGGAAACTACTTAGGTGACCCAAAATACATGAGTAGAGCAGGATGATGTGCTATGTGTATACACTGGAAAACTACTCAATGCTTTGAAAAGATATGACAAAATGGATGGAACTGGATATGACTTAAGCAAAGTAAGTCAGAAGGAAAAAGACAAATACTGCATGGTTTGACTTACATGGGGAACACAAAGAAACAGAACAAAGGATCAGATAAAACCACATTAATAAGAAGCCCTAGAAATCTGATGGTTGAATTGAGGCTACCTAAGGGGGTGGAGTATGGTGGTGAGTTATGGGTGTTGTGGTAGTGGGTGTGGTGCAATAACAATATTTGAAGAATTAGATACTATAGTTCAAAAATGCAAACAATGTTATAAACCAATATTACCTCAATAATAAAGGAGGCAATAAAAAAAATGGACAGACACATTAAAGAGACACTTCTCCAAACAAGACATACAGGTGGCCAACATGAAAAATGCTCATCATCACTTATCTTCAGGAAATGCAAATCAAAACCACAATGAACTACCATCTCACACCTATATGATTGGTCCATATTAAAAAGACCAGAAATAATAGTTGTTGATAAGGGTGTGGATGTGGAGAAAAAGTCATCTTATACACTATTGTGGGAATGTAGACTTTTCTAGCCCTGATAGAAAACAGTTTGGAGGTCTCTTGAAATATTGAAAATAGATCTACAATATGATCCATCAATCCCACATCTGTGTATCTACCAAAGAATACAAAAACACTAATTTGAAGGAATATATGCATCCTATTGTTATTATAGCACTATTAATAATAGCCAAGTTATGGGAACAACCTACCTGCTGAAGGATAGGTGAGTGGATTAAGCAGATGTGTCTATATACACAATGGAATATTATGTAACAATGAAAAGTATGGTTTTTTGAATACTATGTAACAATAAAAAAGATTGCCATTTGTGACCATCTGGATGGCCTGGAAGGAGTTATACTCAGTGCAATAAATCAAAGAATAGGACAAATACAAATATTTGAATGTGGGATATAAAGAAAGAAAACAAAGGAACTGACAAAACTAACCAAAACAAACCCTAGAAATGTGAATGTGGAATTGAAGCTACTTGAAGGGTGGGTGAGAAGTGGGGAGCAGAGGAGGTGCAATCAACAGTGGCAGAGGATTATAGATGCTTTGATGATGGGCATGGGGTAGTGATGTATATCTGAAGAGCTGTAAACTTATACCCCTAAATCATACAGTGCTGCAAACCTATGTTATATCAATATAAAATAATACAGTTTAAAATATATGAGTGTAAATTTTTATGAAATAAAACTTCAAATCTATGAAAAAGTATGCTTTTTTTTTAAAGAGAACTGACATGAAAGCAAGGAGAAATTCAAGCACAACTTTCAAAGGATTAACAGACAACAGACATAAGATTAACAGACATAAATTACCCGGTTGAACTGCTTTACAAGTTTCTCTATACATTTCTTTGTACAAATGCACAGAACACAGATCTACAGAAAATAAAATTGTAGATGCAAAAGTACACCTAGTTTTGTTCAATGGTAGTTTTATTGTATAAATCTGTTCTTCCTAACAAGAAGGTAGCATCATAGAACAGTTGTACTTGCTTTGTATGAACATAGTAGAGTTCATTAAACTATAAATAACATATCTTGAAATAAACTACACTGTATCTTATGTTATGATATCTTTTTACTTGTAAAACTCAGAGGTTAGATCAGATGACCTCTAAAAATCCTAACTCTAAAGTTCCATATTTTTACAATTCAATAGCTTCAAGATAGTCTTCTTTAGACAGCTGGCATATATGAAACTAGCAACCCATGACATTCTGCCCAAGGAGAGAGAACTAGTCTATAATATATTGTGGAAACCACAATTCAAATTACCTTGATTTTAGGCCCCACTGAAATCTAGGATCACTAATCTAGGATCACTTTTTCTTTTCCAAATAGTTGACATCAAAATTTATACTAGCTTGGGTGAAATAGTCCACTCCCTAAGCAACATTTTAATTTTTGAAATAGATCCCTTTCTTCGCTCCTATTTTCCCAACTATGCAGCTCAGTGTCTATAGGACCGAGGTCCCATCTTACTCGTGCTTACTCATAGACATTAGCCAGTGGCAGGAAACATGACCTGTGTTACTGGGACAGATGCTCAACATGCCTGCATGTATCCAGATTTTGGCAGCTTCTTGATTCTTCATAAATAAGAGTGACTTTCTAATTCAGCAGAGCACTATTTCACTGCTCTATTTATCTGTTGCCTGTAACCATGGGATCTAGATTTATGGGGCTCTTGCTTCCAGCTGGGGTTTCCATCCAAGATCAGCTGTTGGGACTGTCATCTTTGGATCACTCCAGTGGGTGTGTCTGGTTTCAGATCTGGCCACTGACACTAGATGACTGGTCTCACTGTGGTGGATTTGTGAGGGAACATGCTCAAATACAGACAGGTCAGTGTCTTTGCTGGCCTGGCAACAGTCATAATTCTTTATGTGTCACATTTTTCACTCATATTGTTCTCTTTAAGAATTGTGAGAATTAGGCAGCAGGGTCAAACAGAAACTCTTGAGTATAATTTTGGGGCAATGGCTCAATCTTCAGTATCATGAAGAATTTTTCTCCTATCCTCTACCGAGCTCTCCTACATGTTCTCAACATCAGTTGAAATTGCTGATTGGGGCCTCCCTGGTGGTACAAGGGGTTGAGTCTCAGCACTACGAAACAACAGCCACTGCAACACTAGTTTGATCCCTGGCCAAAGAGCTGACCCACATGGCACAGTAAGGCCTCTCCTGTCTTTCCTGCTGCTCCCCTCAGCAGTGTATTTCAGTAGCTCCTCCTGTTCAGCTCCCCACTCTGTGTCTGGTGAATCCTCTCCCCCCCCAAACCTCTGGCCTACACCCCAGCTCTTGTATGCAAAAATAAATATGTTTTTACTTAAAAAAAGAAATTACTCTGGTCAAGATCAACAATGACCTCCACAAAGCTGAATCAAATAATATATTCTTAATCTCCATCTGTTTATCTATGAATAGCATACTTGACATTATTGTTCACTGTCTTTAAAGCATTTCTTTCTCTGGGTTCCAGACTACCATAGTCTCATGGATTTCCTCTTCACTGATACCTTCTTAAGTTTCTCCTTTACTATTCTTCTTCATCTTCGGAGCCCTATGGTATGTCTCAGGGTTGATTCTTTTAACTTCTATAACACATGCTCTATAAATGATCTCTTCTGGTCTCACATATGCTGGTGGCTTTCAAAATGATATCTCCAGGCTAACTCCAAGATCTCTCCTGACTTCCTGACATCTCCTTTGGCAATGCTTGTTGGGCATCTAAAATATGATGTGAGCAAAGCTGAGGTATGATATCTCTCTCCACAAGAGCACTGTTCCTCTCACAGTCTTCCTCAACTCAGTGAATGGCAACTCCACCTGTATGATTGTTTAGATCAAAATGTTTGATGTCACCTGTGTAGTCTCTCCTAATATCACATGGGTACACTGTGAGAAAAACTGTTTTGTTTTTACCTTCAGAATAATCATAAAATCTAACCTTTTCTTACTATACCTACTGTCACCACCCAGAGTGAATCCATCATAAATCTTTTGACCATTATAATAATTCAACAACTCCAGTGAATCCATCATAAATCTTTTGACTATTATAATAATTCAACAACTCCCACCAATTTATCCCCATCAAATTTCTCCAAACATAGAAAGCACAGTGAGCCTGATAAATGTAAGTCAGATCATATCACTCCTTTGCTCTAACACCTCAAATACTCTCCTTCTTCAGAATAAATCTTAACTATGCTCTACCAGGCCACATATCACTGCTGTAAGTATCTGTATCTCTGAGGCCTCATATCCTCATAATCTAAATATTCTTTGTGTGTGGTAATATTACAATTTTTTCAAATTATTTGTCAGTAAATTGATGATTGGAGGAGTTAAGCAACTTATTTTTGGTCACACAGTGGTGGAAACATGACACAAATCCAGGTAGCAACCGCAGAAATATAAGCATAATCAGCACACTGCTCAGCCTCCAAAATTTAGCAGTAAGTTTGATTGGCAGCTACTCAAGTCATGGTGACTCTGAGGGAGAGCCATCTATTTCTCATACCTGAGTAGACACGATGCGAAAGCATGTTTGGCATATTCACATTTGGTAGAACTGAGGATCCAAATTGGGAAGAAATACAAAATTGTCTTGAATCAGCTGGTGCTACAGAGGAGGACAATAAATCTCTAGGAGGGAAAAAATAAAATAGACAAAATGAGGATGAAGTTGAACAAAATTTCTATTACACAAACTTTTTATTATTTATGGCGTGTGAACTATATTTTCCTTATTAAATAACATTGGCTTACCACACTGAACATGATTTAGGGGAATAAGGTCACAGAATGTGATGCTGCCATGAGACTGCCATGAGAGATTCTATCATCTCTTCCCAAAAGGAAGCACTTCATTCTCACAGTCTCTATTAGTTTAAGTAGAAATATGTTAAGAAAGACTAAGAAGAACTGACCTAGATGACAATATGACAGGGAAAATGGAAAAGGAAAGTTTTAGGGTTGGAAAAAAATCAAAGTCAGATTACTCTAGTTTTCCATGACCAACATTCAGTTGTGACTACATCAGTCATTTCTCATTTAATGAGCCTACTCTGGCTTCAGTTTTACCATCTGGGATTGGTGTTTGACTGCTAGGGTAGATGTCACTTAGCTAAACTTTGGTGGTCTCTAGAAGTACAACATTTTTGTTCATACTCTGTGAGCAAGAATAAATATTATATTTTACTTTCTCAGCATCTCAAAATATTCTCAAGAAGGGAAGATGGAATATGCCAGAATGTACAACCAAAATACTGATAATCTTACTTTTACTGAAAAGAATTATTCTATGACAGGAATTCTATGGTAACCAATTGCTCTTGGTTGAATTGTATCTCCAAAGGCCTCAACAAAATCTGTATGTTGAAGTCCTGTCTCCAACATGACTATATTTGGTGATAGACCTTAAAGCTAGTAAAGTTAAATGAAATCATAAGGGAGACCCTCATTCATTTGGATTGGCACCCTTCTATGTGAAGGCAAAATACCAAGAACACACACAGGTAGAGAAAATGGCCATGGAAGGACCCATTCAGGTGGTGTTTGCAAACCAAGGAGAGAGGTTGCAAAACAAGTGTTTGATGTTAAAGCTACATAGTCTGTGGTATTTTGTTGAGAGCCCTAGTGGACTCTGTCAATATGTAGTATATCGGTGGCTGTCACATAGTGTTTGATAGCTATTTGCTGAGTGAGAAATGTGTTGAAGATGCAGCCAGAAGAGTATCTTAATATGAATGATTGCACCATAGTTGACTGAAATAGCAATAGATGAAACAAGACTGGGGTTTATATAATGCAAAACCTGAATGACTATCCATTTTTTTCCTCTGACTGGAATATTGTATTGAGCAGAAATACCTCTCCACAACTGGAGGTTCAAATGCTGATGGAACCAGAGGGATCTTCTGCTGCCCTGGAACTGTCAATAAAGGATTCACAGCCATCATTGGATTTATCATCATTATCTCTCGCCACTGATGAAGTTCTAAAAAGAACCAGGGAGCTATGTTAACAAAAAACTGTGCTTTTTAATGAATTATTTGAATTATCCTTGGCAATGAAAACCTTTTGTATTTTTTCAGTACACTGGATGACCAGTTACATCAAGCATTCAGTTACACAAAATCCCCTCTGTTGTGGGCACCCAGGTACAACTGTAGAACACAGTGTTGTACTGATATGTCCTTGGAAATTGTTGCAGAGTCCACAGGTAATTCCACACTGCAAGCCATAATAAGATTAAACCAGTCTTGCAAGATTCCAGAAATACCAACTTATTTTGATTTTTATATTTCCAGAGGTGCAAATGCATGTATCCTTCCATATGTTCAAACTTTGGAAAAATATTCCTATTTAGTTGAAAAGATTAAAACAGAAAAGAGGAAAAATATCATACGGGCTAAAAATATATCTAATTACAGTGGGTACAGGCTGACTGTACAAAACTGCATTTAATTAGAACAAGTGATCCATTATATCCAAATAAACATAAATACAAGAAATTACAAATTTATTTTCAGAAATTAAGGACCAGAAAAAGAGATTATTATGGGCATTTCATTATTAAAGGGATTATATTTTGTCTTACAGTATTTTGTTAATTATTAATATCCTTTGCATATTAATGTCTTTAAAAGTTTATATATTGACAAAGACTGATCAAACAGGTCATTTTAGCTTCTCCTTTATCCTGAACTGTCACTTAAATTTTTTTTTGAGATACTAACAATTATGCTTAAAAGAAAAGAAATTAGGAAATAAGTATTCTGATTTTCAAAGTCATGATCTTTGTTTCACCCTTCATTTTCTTGTGTGTATATTTAATAAAACTGCAAGATAATAAGCATCTGAAGAAGTGTAATCATTTATCTCTGTATTATATACAGTTATAAATGAATGCTACCTCAGTGGGACAAAAACAGTTATTACATACATATGATTCAAAACTAAACATTACAGTGGCATTTAAATAAATATTCTTCAATCATTTCTTTTCAGATTTAAATTTACTGATAAAGTTCAAGTCCAGTAGTTGGCTAACATTATGTATTTTTAAAAAACTCTTCATACTGATTTATTTTCATGGTATTTCTGTGAAGTCAGTATAATTTTCTCTCTGCTAGTGGCTTCATAGATTCTAGTGACCATGACAGTCAGGATTAGAATAAAAATGTCAGCCAGTGCCTGCCAGCCACTGTGAGAATGCCCATGATGATTTCGGCTGAGTATAGTTGGGTGAGCTGCAACTCTGGTGAGGACACTGCTCAAAGCCTTGAAATTCCTGCTCCTGCATGTGAGATTTGGGCGCAGCCATTATCTTACCCCAGGTTCCCTACACAACTGTGCTGTTGGACACAACTTGGCATTTCAGTTGAAATATTATAGAACTTTGATTTGTGTCGCTGACATTTTCTGGCAGAACCAGAAATGAGATAGAATCTTTGAGATTTTAAGATGCAGTGTTCACCTTACACTTTATGTAATGTCTGAGACAAATTGGTGCAAAGAGATGGAAACTGGAGAAAGAAGAAAAGGCGAGGCACAGAGTCTACCCAGAGCGAGGATTGACTAGAGGCTGACCACCCCTTTTTCCCACACATAATTTTAGGAAAATGCCAGGGAGATTAGTCACGAAAAGGAAGGTGATGTTGTTGTACTTTGAGAGCCCTTCCTAAAAAGCAGGGCTTGAGACAAGGACTGGAGTGAAGATAATTTATTTGGGAGGTGATCCTAGGAAGCCCTCTAGAGGGACGTGAGACCAGCAAAGGAAAAGGCAGTAAAAGACGAGTTAACGTGTGGGTTACCACTGTGGGCACCTGCGATACAACACTTGAGGTTGGAAATGACCTTCGTCGTTGCAGGTCAACTCAGACAGGGGTCAAGAAGGTAAGTGGAAGAGTGACAAGAACATCCAGTGCTGTTGAGTAATTAGGTCTATTACCTTCTAATGTCATTCCACTGGATAACTGGCACACATGCCTTTCTTCTGGATTGCCACTATCACCAGACATAGACATATTTCTATGAGGTTCTGCAGGGTCCATTGTCTGCAACAACACAGCAAGATTTTTGTTCACTATTAGTCACATGTTCAGTGAAATAAATGGGGAAACTGAAGGCTATTAGACCAGTGAGGATGAAGCAAAACAGGTATCAGAGATAAATCTCATCTATTTTAGCACTGAAGCCTTCCTTGGGTCATACCTGTTTTGGATTTCATGTTTCTTGGGTTTGACTTTTAATTGACTTTCAATCCTGGGGGTTGACCATAAACTCTACAGTTTTGTTACATTAACTTATGGTAGTTTATTATTTTTATCAATTTTATCTAAAATGTAAACTATTCCCAAAGTCTAAGAAAATGTCCCTACATCATGAGGTCACTGGGGAGGACAGTCTGAAACCTGTTGTACTTGACATTATGGTTCAGGGTTTTACTTGGATCTCCAATTTTTTTTCATCCACACATTTGCAAGCAAGTGTGTATTTACTCATTACTACCATATCTACTGTTGCCCAATTTTTCTTTTTAAAATATTGTTGCCCACTACTGTAAACTGTATACTTGGGTCCACCCCTCTTCCCACCTCCAATTTCTATAATGAAACTTAATCACCAGAGTAATGATATTTGGAGGTGGTGTTCTTTGGGAGGTGATTAGGTCATGAAAATGAAATTCCCCTGACTGACTAAATGCTCCTAGAAAACAGACACCGGAGAACTCTCTGACCTTTCTACCACTTGAGCACACAGACAGCTGTCTGTGAACCAACAAGCAGTTTCCAATCAGACACTGAATCTGCTGGCACCTTGATCTTGGACATCACTTTCCACTTCCAGAATTGTGAGAAATAACTGCCTGTATTTTATAAACCACGCAGATTCAGCAGTATTATATTATTACTATATAACTATAACATAGTCCATAATGTGAATGGCCTAATACATTTTCCTATATCATGCTTATCAACATTTGTATGTCCCAAATTATATGTATATATATATAATCACATATATAAAATATATATGATTATAATATATAATATGATTATTATATAATGATATATATAATATATGTTATTTTATATATATAATGTTTCTATATATATATAATGTCATCTAATTTAAAATATATACTTACTTAATACACTTTATTTCTACAGCAGTTTCAGGTTCATAGGAAAATTAAGAAGACAGTACAGAGAGTTCACTGTTACCTCTTCCCACACATGCAGAGCTCGGCCAGTCTCAACAAGCTACACCAGAGTAGTGCATTTGTTATAATTGATGAAGCTACATTATCACCCAAAGTCCGCAGTTTACCTTAGATTCCTATATCTAAGGTATGTATATTGTACGGGTTTTGACAAATGTGTAATGATTTATATCCACCATTATTTTATCATGTATAATAGTTTCACTGCCCTAAGCCAATTTATAATGTAAAGCAAATGGTACCAGAACCATTTCCAAGGAAATATTCCAGATTGACCAGGTCTCTCTGTTCATTGGTCAAGTAGATGCTTGAAGTTCTAACTCTGTTTTTACAAACTCACCATTTTGGTGGGGGAGCTACTAAGATCAACCCATGAGCCTTTAAACTTGCATATTTTCTTTCTTCTCCCCTCCTCCTCCGTTTAACAGTTAGTTATTTTAAAACTTTTAAAATAGATTCATTATATCATAACTTTCACATTGTCAAAGATACTCTCTCCTTTTTAGAACTAGACCAGTAAGGTCACTTTGCAATGGCAGAGGAAATGCTCTTGAGTCGAAGTACAGAACAGGCTATCCTTTTAAAGGCAGAGCATGCCTGGTAATCCCAAATGCTGGGTGCACTGCTGCTTAGGTTTGCACTTGGATTGGATTCCTCTGACCCTGGGCACTAATCCTGGATGCCCAGCACTTTAGAAGGATGAGGATGCCTTAATCTGTGTTCAGACTCTTACCCTCAACAAACCCCTCCAGGCAGTACACAGAAGATTTAGCCAGTGCTAATTCTGTCTCGACTGATTAGGGCAGTAACTAAGACGTGAACTCCATGAACTAAAGCCCTTGCCAAATCAGCAAGAATTTACTGAATTCTTGCCTTGTAGCTAGGCTGCCAATCAGTTCAATTATATTTCAGGTTTTCATCTATATACAATAGCATCCATTAAAGTTAGTGGAATTTGACTTTAACCAACATCTGATTTGTATAATTATATATAGAATATTCATTACATTTATAATATAGGCATTCTGAGACTACCTCCATTGAAATCAGTTATTTTTTATAACTGCTATATTTGGAAAGTTTATGTATTTGAAAGGTTGATTAGTAGAACTAAATGTTTCTACAATTCTGAGAAAAATATAAATTATTCAATTAAAATGAAAGGGACATACTGTTTAAGGTCTTTTGTTTAAATTATAAAATGATCCAAGATTCTTCACTTATTCTCTATTCTAGGTGCCCCATATTAATGTGAGTTCTGAAAAGCAAATTAGTGCTAATACATAATTCATACTTCCATAAGCATATTTCATTTCTAAAAATAAAAAATGGGAAATCTCTCTGAAAGTTAAGAAGGCCAAAAGAGCTGCTGAAAAACATTTCATTATCAAGTACTTTTAGCAGAAAACCTAGATGTGAGAACAGAAATTATGCTTATTTCTCATAACATAGTTAAAAGTATGACAAGAATATTTGAACATCCAATAAGAAAAAGTTTTTTAAATACTATATAAAATATTGTATAAAATAAAAATAATTGTGTTGATAGACTACATTGTTTACTAAAGTTTATAAAAATAATTGTGTGGATAGTCAGACTACATTGTTTACTAAAGTTTAAAATATGATAAGATGACCAGATTGGCATAAATATTTGACTGTTTCTAACTATAGATGCACATAATTTCCTGAGAAGAAATTCACCGAATTCTAAAATTATCTGAATCA